TCGTTATGCATGCAATACAACATAATATAATGCTCAGAATGATCATTCTTTGACCATTCCTGTTATGTAGCCAGATCATCATTGTACTGATCACTACTAATATTTTTTGAACTCAGGTATAGTAGTTGTCAAGATTTCTAAAATCTCGCACTTATTAAGAAGATACTGAATCTTTCTATGCCATATATCATAATTTGTCCCGTCCAACTTCTCTTTAGTGGACAAATTAGTAATCATATTCTTGGTTGCCATTTCGACAAGTATAAAAAAATAGACATAGATATAATTTTTCATAATTAAATTATCAAATTTTCATTATTTATATCACACGCTCGAAAATTTCGCTAGACTCATAATTATCACATATGATACAAATTAAAAATATTATAATTTAATTATCATAATGAAAAAAATTAAATGGAACATATCTATGAAACCCTTTAATTTTGCCAAACTTAATTAGCATACAAAAATATCACATAAATATATATAGTTATCTCAACTTAACAAAAGATGAGTAACTAATTAATGTCTATAAACTAATTAATATACATTAGTATAGTGATGATAAAACAACGTAAAAAATACTAATATACTATCTAAATAAATAAAATAGTATGCATACATGAAATACTATTAAAATACACATACTACTAACTAGTGAATATGCTCAAATATATGAATATTCATGTATATTTCATAGTTTAGTTGGTTATAGTATTTATTTAGTAAGTGGGAGGTTTTGAGTTCAACTCTCAATTACAACATTTGGTTTTTTTCTTTTTCTTTCTAAAAAGAAAAAAACAAAATTTCTGTAGAAAAAAAACAAAATTGATGAAATCATGATATTATGATGAGAGAGAAAAGAAGAAAAAAATAGTAATAAAATAGAGAGGGTATTGCATTCCTATGCATAGAGTTGGCTATGCATATATATGTATCCTCCAATCCTTCTTTCTCTCCTACTCCTTTTTTCCTTTCCTTCATGCACACATAATACCACATCCCTCCTTTTAATTTTTAATATATATATATGCATACGTGTATATATATATATATCTTCACATTTTTCTCTCTCTAAGTTTTCTTTCTCCCTTCATGCATATACTGCGCGCACACTGTGTTTTTTTTTTTTTCAATTTCCCTCTAATTTGTTCAATTCTGCCAACCCTGACAGCAAAAATATTTGGAGTTTTTCTGGGCTTCACTAATTATGCTTAAATTAACATTGGACACCGGAAGAAAAAAAATTGGGGAGTTACTAATTCTTAAAAAAAAAATATATAGATGTTAAAAAAGAACTGTCCATTTGGGATT